ATAAATATCTTTATATAATAATAGAATATTGGTGATCAAGACACCTTTTTTTATTTTATTTTAAATTTCTGAGGGGAAGTTTCAAGAGTGCTGAAGCAGAACTGTCATTCTGCAATCAGTAAGAAACATGGATTTAAACTCTATTCACTGTATCTCTCATAAGGTCAAGGAGGGTGTTCTAATTGGGCCATGTTAAGATTAAATGCTCAGTAATACATTTCTAGCAGTGGTCAGAATCAGATTCTCTTGAGGAAGAGGGGGAGGAAAAAAGAAAAAAGGATAACTACTGTGTCTCACAATCACAGAGAAACCCACCAGTATGCTGCTTAATTCCTCCCTACAACATCTGCTTCTTCCTCCACAACCAGCAGTTTATATTCCTTATAGACACGAAAACATTTTACTATAAAAAGGTTCTCATAATTAGCACCCCTGGGAAAAAAACCTCCATCTTTGCCTAACCTTTTACGGAAATTAGTGCTACAAATTAAGACAGGGCATATTTTTTTCATTAAGCACTAAACACCTGTTTCACAAAATCTTTTTCTTTTTTTCCCCAGATGTCTCTATGATGCACTATACCAACCTTTTCAATGCCTGCCCATCAAGAAGTGCTTCACTCTCAGCAATCTATTTCCCACGAATCATTTTGCTTAACTAAATATGTCTCTTGGTATGTCTTTTATACTGGCTGAGTGAACTGAAAGATGCATTCTGAACAGAGAATATCAGTACTTACAGAATAATACACATTTTTATAGCTCAAACTTTCCTCTGTATGTTTTGGAGTGCCACTAGACAATGATCTGCTCAAAACTGCAATGAAAAAAGCTGATTGCCATTAACACTTCATATCATTCCATTCTTCACAAAATTTACATAGTTCAGAATCTGATGACATTATATACATATAATATGAAAGTTTCAGAATTTGTAGCCCTGTAATATGAACCAAAAATTCCAATTTCCCAGCTGCATATAAGGGGATGTCTAAAACAGAAAGAACGCCCAGAGTCAGATGATCTCCTGTATTTTGTCTAGCACCAGATTCACACACAAAATCATCCTCCATTAAACTGCTATGCACTCAGAGCTGAAACAGAAAAGGAACACCAGCTAGTTTTTGAAGCAGAAGAAATTTATCAGAAAGGGGATCATCAAGACTGGTTCAGAATATGGCCAGGTTCAGATAAATAAATAAATAAGTAGAATCAGACAAAAGGAGATAATTTTCAAGACAGAAGTGGGACCCATGAAGAGGGTCTAGGGAAGAACAAAACAAAACAAAAAAATCAGACAACTACTGTAGACCATGACTACTTTAGCATACTTCTGCATTTAAGCCAGACTTAATATCCTGTTCTAAGAAAGCTGAAGACACATTTGCTTAGACTCATGAGTTGCAAGCTGTGGTACACAGACTACAGTTTTGAATGTCTGCAAAAGACAAGTGAGAAAAGCAACTCAATTGCTAGTAAGCCCAGATATGCTTTAGGTCCACAACTCTGCATGCAAAAAAAAAAAAAACCAACAAAAAGCAACAAACCCACAGAGGTGTGCAAATAAGCAAAGATTAAAACTGATGGTTTAGATGACACATAGTTAAGTATATTTATGGAACCAGATGGTCATGCCAGCAATAGGAAATGCATATTTTAAATGCTGGAATTTCTAGTTAGTATTCATATTCTGTGCATTTCTTCACATTAGGCAGAGTTTCTTCAAAACCAAATAAAACAAAAGCATGTTTAAAAATAAATTTTAAATAAAATTTCACATGAATTATGAAATGTACCATGATGATTTCAAAAGACTGAGAGAAGACAGAGAAGTGTCTCTAGTGACCACTAACACAATTTTACATATATTATATCTGTTTATCTACATCTCTCTGTTTCTCTCTCCATCTGTATATGTGTGTATGTATAACTAAAATTAACTAGATTTTACACAACACTTCAAAGGAAGTTCCTCAAGAATCTATGTCTCCTTTATAGGTTACAAGAAGCTCACAGCATATTAGACCACTAGTAAGAAAGGCATACTTAGGTGTCGCAGGTGATGCAGACCTTCTGGACATGGCAGCAGGAGAATCGGACCTTCTTAGAGGAGATCCCATACCAGATGATGAACCAGGTGTTGCGGGTCGCTTCTCTTTCTTTATCTTCTCAGTCTAGAAACACAGTCCATTTTGGTTTCCATAATTAGGATCAACACATCAAAAATACATTTGATAGTTTTATTAACAAGATGTCATATAAACAGATTTGTGTAACATACATTTAAGATAAACACCAGCTCACAACTGAGATGCGTAGTTTTTTATTTTACATAGACATAAAAAACCACAATCATGTCTTGCATGGACATAGTATACAAGTTGCAGGTAAGAAACATCACATCAGAGCCTCTCCAGGAGATCTTGGGAGGGGCGGTGGCACTGGGTGCAGTTTCCAAAATCATCTACATGTTCCTGCAACGCCTCTCAAGACACGGTCAGTACTTCACCCAGGCATCTCGCAGCAATGCTGCTGGATGTAAACTGTAAATCATGCCCAAGAAAAGACACTACACAAATCTTCAGCTCCCAGCTTTGGTCCTCTCACTTGCATCTAATTTAGATGGCGTGAATCCCCCTACTATTAACTATTACAAGACACAGGACCTTATGTGAATTTTACAGCCCTAGCATAAATTTTTTAAAACATGCCTTACGTTGTGTAGACTCAGTGAAGGTGAATGACTTGCCTTTGCTTTTCTGGAAACTACAGTGGGTCAATAATGCACCTTTTAAGCAAACAGCATTAAAAATGTCCACAGAAAGAGTTAAGCAATTGATATAAAACAGAGGCATTGTCAATACACTTGGCAAGCTTCCGAAATATGTGAAGCTTGTTAGTTAACCAGCAAGACTGGATAGTCATACCCAGTAGAGAGAGCCTATTTGTCATCATCTCCATTCCCAGAAGTTACAGGCAAGTCCAGAAACTTACACCAGTGCCAGAAATCTCAGTTCCCTGAAAATAAAGGTGTTGCTGTTCCAAATACCAGCACTCAACATTGATTCCCAGGAGGAGGAAGATACTAAAATGCTGCTAAACGGGAGCAGAAAAGCAACAGATGCATGCAAGGCTTACTCTTTCTTACTGCTGTTTCTTACAACAGGGGTAGCACTTTATTTTTATAAATGTAAAGGGAAAGCTGATAACCAGAAGCCACATCAGTTTGCCCAGAAATGAAATCAAAACCTTTGCAAACCCACCTGAGTAGCTTCAGCGGCAGCCGCCCCTTTCACAGCATCAGAAGTGGAGGGTGAAGTTGCCTTCTTTCTGTCGGCGCTTCGGGTGGGGGAAGGCTTGTAGGGAGATTTAAGCGGACTAGCTGGTGCTACACGAGGACAGATATGGAATACTAAAGAGTTATAGTACAATAACAAGAGCAAAAGAGAGCACAGACAGAGGAAGTAAAGGAGAGGAGAAAACAGCATACTTTTATGTTATAACGATCGAAGGTAGTTTTCAAGGTTTTTTTAAAAGTGTTTCAAAAGATCACATTATATAACACATTCAGCATGGTCCCATGTTTACTAAAAATGCCTCAACTGAAATTTATAGGATTTTTTTTTTTTTAATTATCTAAAATATTGCTCTCTTACTCATATGCCTTTTGAATCACCTGACTATGACTGTGATTCTTTTTTCTTCTGAGAAGTCCAGCTTCCTTTGCATATGATAAAAAGAGTAATCAAACAATTGTAGTTGGGTCACTTGTGAACAAATACTGCAAAACAGGAAAGGTGACAGAAGAGTAGGGAATTTATTTTTTTTTTTAAAGCCTAAACATGGCAAAGGCTCCTAAATACCTAACTGCTTTTCAAAATATTACTTTAATTTAAAAACAAACAAACAAAAAAAAACCACCAAACCCAAACCCAAACTAAATACTGCTGCAGGTATTTCAGTTATTGTTATTTGTGGTAGACATCAGTTTGAGACACATGCATTACAGCTTACAGGACAACTCTTTCTGGGTATTTTTTCTTTATTTGCAATATGAACAGGATTTTTTAAAAATAGGATATTTTAGTCCTGTTTTTGTTCATATTGCCTTCTGGGATGAAACTTTCACATACATATAGGACAATCAACAGAGTATATGCTTTATTAATAAGACAGACACTAACTGTAACTATGTGACAGCATGTTTCCAACCTTATTCAACTGAAGCCAAGAAGGATGTTGACTTTGGAAAAGCAGTAATTATGCTCAAATGTAAAGGAATTCACATTTCCAGTATTTTTTTATTGTGGGCAGTCCTATAAAATTTCTTATGAAACCTTTTGTATGCTTAAGTTTAACTGGACCTGTGTATTCTTTGACTGACTTTCCAGCAAGTTGGCAAAAGTTCACTGAATATTAAGAAAACTGTTCAGAAACTTAAATGCTGCTTAAGTATTTTTATTTCAACTGTAAAAAAAATTGAATTATATGTGTCCAATAACAAGTGTTTGCCTGAATATCTTCACTCAGAGTGACATTGATAATGCACTGCCCTAGAGAAAGTGTCTTAAATTGAGACTCCTCATTTCTAAGCTTACAGAAAATGCAGGAGCAGAGCAACTTTGACACAAACATAATGACATGAGGCACAGTATGAGCTCTTGAAAAGGAAGAGCCCTCTTCCCTGTTCAGGAAGCTACTTCTACGGAGAGAAGTACACGACAAATGGGAGATCTCCCTCAACGCTTTTACTGGCAATTACTGACAAAACCGTCAATGGCCACTCTGAGTACTGATGCTGTTTGCAACCTGTGCTACAGCCCGATTGCCTTGCGAGGAAATGGCAAGAGGATGCTGGTTCAGAGAGCTGTTCCCAGAACCAGCACTCCTGTTTCAGCTCAGGGAAAAAGCAGTTTGCAGGCCAAATTGTACCCTTGTCAGACATGCCAGTGTGCTACTTTAAAGATCCTGTGATGAAGAGAGAGATAAAGCTGGGAGTTTACAAACAAAATGAGTGGGGAAGAAAGTCCCTATTGATTTCTTCAGTATCAAATACAACACGGAAAACAACATCTGTAGGCGGCCCCAGCAATTCACCTCAAAATTTTAAGCAGAATACACTGATCTAATTTCGAGTTGGCTTTTGTTCACTCTTAGCAGTAGTCGATCCCTGAACAGATGCAGGACCTGAGCCTATTTCAACCATGGTATATGAAAATACCGATCGTAAAGATGATTAGTCTTTTACCACCTAACTAGTTTTATCCTGAAAATAATGTTTCTTTTGCAGACAGGCATTTGGGGGTGGCATTTGGGGTGGGGTTTTTTTGTTTTTAATAAAAGTAAAAACAGCTGTTGAACTTCTGTCCTTGTTTCAGCAAACACTATGACCAGGTATAGATTTATAAGTAGGAACTACTCTGGAAGTCAGGCACTTGTCTAAGCATTAGCAGGACTGGAAACATTAGTTTTGTAGATGTCTGCAAAATAAGGGTTTTATTAGACTGCTTTTTACAGATAGGAACAGTAACTATCATCCCTAATTTTTAGTTTCTTGAAGATCAAAATTTCTGGAACTGACACCTTCCTATCAGTGTCTCTGTTTTTTCCTCTAAGTGAGTATCACTTTGTGGGGGTATACACACACACACACACACACACACATATATATAAAAATACACATACAGTCATTCAGTTAAAGGCAAAAAGTAATTTAACAGCAAAGAACTGGAACCCTAGTAAAAATAATTAAGGCTCAAATGGTGCACTGGGATTTTTGTTCTACATACTATTTGGGTATGAAAGGGGATTACATTAATATATCAAATAAAGCCTCTGAGAGGGGTCACACATTGGTCTAAAAAATTGTTTCTTAAATGAATATATTCAGTCTTCCATTGGCTCAGGTTTTAGTGATTTTGTTAATTCAATTTTTTGTTGTTTGTTTTTTCTTTTTTTTAAATTATGTTCTTTTTAAAAAGATACTCGGAACAAGACAGATAAGATGATGTTTTTTCAAGCTTTTAAATACACTGCTATCATGAACAACTTAGTTCATCGTTGATTTTATGCTATCACATAAACTGTCATTTGGTTCATAGTACTCAATTTCTTTCAGCAGCTACTCAAATGCAACCAAAACCATACCTTAACGGTTTCAAAGAGAGTAATTCACATTTTTACCTGGATTACTGTACTGCTCAGAAAGCATTAATGTACTTCTGCTTCTGGCTAAAGATGACTGTGTGGGAGTCAGCAGTCGAGAAACAATAAAGTTTTCCATTGGGCTAAGATGCATGCGGTGAGCTGAAGGATGGGAGCAAATAAAATAAAATTTAAAATGCAAAGAAATAAAACAATGTTACATTAAAATAACTGAAACAAAATGATGAAATGATTAAATGAAATGAAAAAAATCTCAAAGTGTTTGAGATTTAAAATATTTAATGATAATTTTCATTCCCTCTGAAAAAAAGGTTTCTAGTTTCTCCATAATTTTAATTTATTTTCCCACCTGTACAATAAATATAGTAAGGTTAAGTAAGGTTAAGACTGTGTTGCATTTTGTTCTTACACAGAGGTATGTTCCATTCTGCAAAATGGTTGCTTTCATGACTCAGCATGAAAAAGGTTTGCCTTTTTCCCCAGCAGAAAAGGCGAAACATTTGGTATAACAGCGCAGCTACTCACTAATGTGCCAACCATACTGGGACTGCATTTAAAATTTGCAGTCTCACCGCATTATATAAGTCTTATTTATACAACATGCCTGCATTCCTTCCTACTCCATAAATATAAGCATCAACTATATAAGAAAGATATTTATAGATGTTCCTATTACATGCATACATATATAGCCATCTATCATAATAACCTCAAAGCTATTGATGAGTTTTCATTAAGCAATTCAGAAATGAAAGTAAATTTACCTTCTTTTCATTCTAGAAATAAGCCTTCATTGTCACTTATTTTAGTCAATTTTTTTTTCTCATTAGAATTTAAAAAAAAGAGGGGGAAAAAGGAAGAAAGACACAAAAACAAAATCCAAAGAAGAAAAATCCAAAGAGTTCACGGTGGGGTAAATCCTTCAGTCCTTTGTGTAGTGTTTAATAACCACTAATCCCGCAAGATGATCATCTTTTGCTGAGCCTCTGATGGATCAGGGTTTCAAATCAAATTAAAGGGCTCTACAACTCTGGTCACCAGATTGAAGTCTCCCAGGTGCTTAATGGGACGTACTTCTGCCCACTGTACAACCCATGTCTATTGTTGAGCCACGTGTTTGGCTTGCTTGTTTTTCATTATTTGGCTAAAAGATCACAAGCTGTACACTTACGGGAAATTGCTGCAGCCACAGCATGTACTTACAACACTGTTTGCTGGAGTATCAAAAATTGAAAAAGAATCAGTAAAAAAACCCCACAGCGTTTGTTGCTAGCCTAGGATCTCCAGCATAGCAGCAAAGTCTTGGGACAGGCTGCAGCACTATTTTATTGTATTAACTTACAACCCCCCAAATGTTTGGGTTCTTTTGAATAATAGACATAAGCGAGTTATATAGCTATATGGACAAGAAGTGCTTTAAGCAGAAGGAGAGTCTATGCTGATAGGAGACCAGCATATTCACTTGCCTCTGTCGGGGGAATGTGTTATTGCCGCTGTGGAGGAGGAGAGGCGCTTACTGATTGGCGATTCCATTTGCTTTGGCAGATTCATTGTAGAAGCTGAAAGTTTGTCACATGCTGCAGAGAGATGCATTAAAGATATTTGTATTCACATCACAGTGTTGATAAACTCCCAAAATTAACCTCACGTTTGTACTCCTGGCCCTTGCCACTGATCATAGCCCTGAATAAGGCATGAGATAAGCTCTTTCCGACTGCTGGCAGCATTTTATAAGACATGCTTTGGGATGCAACTTTTCTGCTTGTGAATTCAACATCTCAGTTTTACAGTAGCCTATGTTTTATGTAATTATTTGCCTGTGGCAGTATATCAGGTCTGAATGAGTGAAGCCATTCTGATACAAGATATTCAATACCAGCACAAGCAGAAAGTTACCTAAAGAAAATGAACTGCACATACGACAACTCTGAACTCCTTCCCTCCATTCCCCCTCCCCTCTACTTTCAGTCTGGAAGAGTGGGGATAGACCTCAGGTTATTATTCTAACACAAAAATGAAATAATCAACATTTGTGCATTTGCACAATGAGAACGGTTTTAATGACTGATCTGGCACCAGCTATTTGGCTTTAGCTTTTTGTGCTTGACAATTTTTTTTTTTTTTAAAAAAAAAAGCTTTTTGGTACTACCTCAAGTGCTTTCATTTTTGTTTCTGTTATTTCTTCCAAAATACTGTTTGACAAAGTCTGTTTGAGCAAATACCTATTTCCAACCTTGCCATTTATTCAACAGAATGACAGAAAAATGTTATTCACTTATTACTGCTGTGTACTACTCTACGACAATCACTGCATGATGCTCAGAAGCTAAAAGTATAGATGCTTTGTCCCTTAAATTTGAATTTTCTTTCTTTCAAAAACAAAAATACTTTCAGCTAAAAACATATATGTGGCCCTAATTCTGCAGCCCTTAAGTTACTGCATTCCCTATTACATCCATTGAAACGTTGCCTCACTGCAACATTTGCCTCCATCTACTACAGTAAACAATACAATTCTCTACATTCGCATTTTTAAGAAAGCAGGTACAATGCTGGTATGCTACGAAACATCAGCTGCATATCCAAATCTTTCTGTACGTGAACAATAATTAGTACAAAAATTTGAATCTGTTTGCACAGAAATAAGAGTTCTGTGAGAGCATGGGCAGGACATTTACTGTGCATTTTGCAGGAGTAATATTCAAGCCTAGCTCCTCTTCTGGAGACAGAGAAGGAACCTAGTTCTTAAAACAGGCTGCGTTGCGTCTTCAAAATGCCAAGTACATCTGCAATCAAAATTGGAAATCCTATATGCAATCCATTCTTAATTTTGGAGCACTCATCTACTTCACAGTCCTTTTATAATAAAAAAATTAAGTCCTTTTATAATAATAATTAAAAAAAAAAGATAACTGAACAATACAAAAGAAAACAAAACGTGATTGCCCAAACAAAGTCAACTACTTGAGTTTGTTACAAATGGCAGCTTGGCCAAAATCCACTTCAGGAGGCTGAAAATACAGCATTCTGTATGGCTGTTTATACCAACTTTGCTTGTTTGTAAAATATTGCAGAAAAAGGCCCTTGAGATGGGAAGAGAGGACTGCTTTGATGAAACATGGTCTCCATAACACATTTTCTCTTACTGTGCAACTGAAATTTTTTTTCAACACCACTTGCACATCCACTAGAACTGTCAAATATACATGTAATTATATTTACACACACATACAAACAGAGAGCACCCACAGAATTAACAGAGATGAGAATCTGAGCGGTAGAAGTCTACAGTTAGTGAGAAAACCATGAAATGCCTCTACTGTGCTGGAATGCGAGGCATGCACCGCTCCACCATGGCAAAATCAAAAGGAAATTAAAAAGACATTTGGTCCACATCGTTAAGGGTAATGCCATAGACTACCAGACTGAAATAATAAGAAAACAGTGGTTAGGAAGGACAAGATCAGTGGATGGATTACAGTGATTAGAACAGTTATAAACGAGACATGATGGTACTGTGATTCTCTGAAATACCATTGAAGGAATCAGCAGGAGCAGTAGAGGTCACAGGGTCTGGAGGAAGGGTGTTGGCAGCTAAACCTAGAACAGGGGGTGGGGTATTTTCTGATTCACCTACACAGCAGAGAAATCAGAGCAAAAAGAGGTGAAAGAAATTACTGAGTAAGTTGGGGGAGCTGGAATTCAGCATAAACTGCATTACAAAGACTAACTGGTTTCTCTCTCAAAGTATAAAAGAGTTCTTTTATTATCATATATATTTAATTTTCTGGCTTTTTTGATGGCATACCGTGAAAACTAAGACGTGAAACAGAGTTTGCCTTTTTAGAGTTAAGTATATTTACACACAGTTTAAAAAAGAGTAACTGTCATATTTCATTATCACCCGAACATGGATATTTTTCCCCATAACATCAGTTTATTCAAACCTGACAAACTTAAATAAATTGTATGATTTAAAACAGAAAACATGTATATTTTTGAAACATAAAAGCAGTACATGACTGATTATGTAATAAAAGGAATTTGTTCTGAAGCCAAATCAAAAAGAGCAGCAACAAAAACTATGGGGGGGAAGAAAACCCCAAACTATTTAAAACTGCACATGCTGCATAGTCATCTAGAAATTCCCATCAGGTTTTCAGAAGTACCAAACAAAACCAGATCATCTTTTGCAAGGCTCAGACAGCACTCAGTCCTTTGGTGAACATTAAATTTGCTAACTGTGTGCGTGGGAAGACAATGCGGGGAAAGAGAGTAAGGGAGAGAGAGCGCATAAATTTTAATTTTAGCATTTAGCATCCTCCAAACAGATTCAGGTTACTCTATTAAAATGATCTGCATTCCTAAAGTCAGGAGTGACCTTCCTCCCCAGAAGGTATTAGAGAGAGGAAGCCTGGCAAGCAATTACAAAGCATTTATTCACGCCCCAAGGCGGTAGCCCCTACAGTACCACCCTAACTATAAAATGCATCATCCTTACTATCTCCACAACCTCATGCATTTTGCACTTCAAGATCTGCAATGCAGGCAGCCTGTTTCACTTACCATCTCTCCCTCCTGAGCCTGCAGCCAGTGCTCCTCCCCACGACCATCGCTTCTGCTTCTGTTCCAGCTGCTGGCTGCGTTCAAGGGACCGACGCATCATGGCTTCTAAACGTTCCTGATTATATTGGTACAAAACCAGAAACCAAATCTGAATCAGTTCTTTGGAGGCTTTTTTTTCCTCCTTCTGAAACCATGCTAAAAATACACAGTTCCCCTGTTGCTCCATGCAAGATGATTTCAGGAGCTTGTTCGCAATAAAAGAAAAAGGACTGAATAAAAAAGGTATCAGCATGCTACCTACCTCCAGATATGTGTATCCTTTGTCTGCAAGCCAGTAAGGTCACTACAGAGGCCTAAGTAAATAACACAGGTTGCATCACTGCCTAGCATCTGCTCCTGCTGGTGAGGCTGCTGCTGTGCTCTGGACTTAATTTGTATAAGAATAATGCTCGACAAGCATTAACTCCTTCTTGCCTATGCAGACCTCAGGATTTTTTTTTTCCAACCCTTTCTGAGCACAGCTAAATTGCTGCAATGCCAGTGGCTCCTCCTAGCCACGCAGATAAATGATCACTTCAAACCCAAAGTAGGTTATACTTTGCAGGATGCCCAAATTATTCAGACTAAGCAACAGAAGAAATGTATGCACTGTCTGAATTAAAACTCCCTTCTTTCTTCCACTATGTTCTTTACAGTCTAGGCATTTAAGAGCTTCTGATTTTTTTTTCCTCTGTGTGTTTTTTTAGTGCATGCCCAGATTGTGCTGTTCTGGGATTTATATTTTTTTCTCTCCACCCCCACGTTCTTCTCCATGGCTTGATGAGTTAGTATTTTCAGACGGGGAAGAACATGAAGGAGATTTCTTTCGCTCCCCAAATCCTGCTCTACCTTTAACTTACAGCTACGTATAGTCACCTTATTCCCTCTCCACCACATTCTAACTGTCATTCAAAGACCTCCACTCAGTTTTGTTCCCACCTCCTCCCTCTGCTAAGTTTCTCGGTGGTTTATTGTTGTGGCAATGATCTCTGCACCTTTTCTTTTTCTCCTTTCAAGCAGATAAAACCTGGTTCTTCCCCACCCACCGTTTCATCACCTACCACCCTCTTCCTTTCCTCCTCTCAGTACCTCATTCACATCTGGCAACATCTTCATCCTCACCAGCCCAACCCCTACTGTGAAAGATGGGTCTACTCTTGCTGCCTCCAACTCCTGCCCCGATGTTTTTTAGCCCTTTGATCCTATTAGTATTTTTGGTCCTGTTACTTACTACCTTTGCTATGTCCTTCTGGTCTAGTATGACACTCCTACTCTGTCCACTTCAAACTCTTGATCCTGCAGGCTTCTGTGATTACATCATATCCCCTTTAATTTCTATCAATTCCCTGCTCTGTCTCCAATATCTTTTGGTAGCTCAGATCAACTACGCAGAAAACCTCTCCTGCATCTCTCGGCCAGATTACTTTCTCTCACTGATTCATGACTTTGGTCTAGGTTTCCTATTCCCCTTCCCTGAGATATTTTACCACAAAATTTCAGTCTTTGTTCAAGCATGTCTCCTTCAGTCTCTGCACTGATGTTGAGCCTGTTGTCTCTGACGGAGCTCCTTCAGTAGATCAGACCCTAACATCGGGCACCTCCAGTAACTACCATGCCTGGAACTTTTATGCACGTACCTGTAAACTTTGTGTTATTTTCCTGGGGCTCTGTTTATGGTCACCGGATTTCTACAATGCCAGATGCGCTCTCATCATCTTCTAGTTATCTGCAATATACTTTTGTCTCTTTCATGTCGTTGAAGAATCTCTTCTACCATCATGACTTCCAGTAATTTATTTCTGACCTCATTTTTTCCACCTCATGCAAACCTGCTACCAATTATCCATCAATTTCAACAGCAAGCCACTACCTTTTGTCTTTAAGCTCTCTTCTCTTATTACAAATCACTTGTACCATAAAGAACTCCATTATGTTATCCTCTATACAAAGAGTGAAAAAAGGCAATTCTCGCATACCCTTTCTATCATCCTCAGCTCTCCTATCCTTGTTACCTTTCGGCCAGGTGACCCACCCTGCTATTACAATTTCTACTGCCATCTCCAGGAAGACGATCTTTCGAGTCATGTGTTTTGTGCTCTCACGTCAGTTTTGTCTCCCTGCCATGTCTTTAGCTCATGGTCTATCAGGTAACATCATTCAAAGACCACTGAAACGAGGCAGCTGCTTCCCCGCCCTCCCCACCTCTTTTTTCCCCGCCTTCTGTCTAGTCAGTGCCATCAGTGTCCAAGCAGGCACGCAAATGCTCTCTCTGCCTCCTTCCTCCTCCTCCTTCTCCCTACAGAGGAAATGCACGAAGCATCACAAAGCTCAAGCACAGCCTCTTCTGCAACAGCACAGAAAAACCCCACAGTTTTGAATATCCTAGAACTTCTTGTCCGTACTTTGGGTGTGGAAAGAAAGCAATCTTCCAGACTCTGGAATCCAAGTCACTCCCATCTGATTTAGTTTGCTACAGTCTTTCTCCTCTTACTACTTGATGATGCAATTTTTACGTTTAAAACCTGTGTGCGCTAGCTTTGCATTTCAAGGTTCACGCTTTTTACCTTTAACTTCCCACCTCCCAACATTAATTTAATTCTGTTTGAGTCCCTTTTCTGTACTTATTCTTTCCAAACCTCACCTCCTATTTCATCACCAGTTCTTCTCTGCAGTCTCTCTTTTCATTCTTCTTCTGCTATGCATCTTGCCCCAATATACCTTTCTACCCACACTCTTTACAAAGGAAAATGACCTTCCCATTTCTTTCTCATTAAAGCATACACTTATACAGAATCTTTCTTTCTTCCCGTATCTAATGAATATTGTTATAGATTAATCAAAAAAGATAAGATGAAAGCAGTCAAGTTTCAATTATCCAGGTGATTTATGTTTTTGTTTGCTTGGTTGGGTTTTTTTTCTTTAAATGCTGCTTGAAGCAAGGACCAGCAATATTCTGTAGTTTGCAAACCACAGAATACACTTATACCACCTACTATGAAAGCGCTGTTTTAAGAATAAAACGCATGATGAAATAGATTAAAGAAATTAAATGATTTTTCAGACATATTTGAAAGCCCATGCTACCTACAATTACATGATGTGGAGAGGATAATTCATTTTCATTTGCAAAGAGCCTTTCATTAAAGCACTATAGAACATAATTATTAAACCTCATTAAACCCTGCAGATACAGCTTAGATAAAGAACAATATGAAGGCCATTTTTCACAAAGAAAGGATAGTTATTTAAAAAACATTTTAAGTTAGCACAAAACTAAAAAGCCAAAGAAAACAGTAAGACACATGGAAGCAAAGCATAAACAATTCATACATTAATAATTTGGTCTGTGACAAAAACTAAATAACAAGACAAAGCATTCCTTCATCAGCAAACAATGCGCAATAGCCTTCCTGTCTATGTTATAGATGAAGTACCTTCTTAAAAACATATCAAACTATCCATGTGATCCTCATTTGGGAACTCTAATAGCTATAGATAGAGGAAATAATCTCTGCACTAAAGATATAGTAAGCTTCCACAAAAAACTGTAATGTACAAGCTTTGCATGTAGGTTACATTAAGAATGAGTAAAACCATAAAAAGAGAGCCATCTACTGCTAGTATCTAAAATATACATGTTACTTTCCAAAATCCATAGTTATTCATCCAGGTTTTCCTCAGACTAAGCAACAGAAGAAGTGTATACACTGTCTGAATTAAAACAAAAACAACAAACCTCCCCCCCCCCCAAAACCAAAACCAAACCAACCCAAAAACCAATAGTGAGAATACAAGTAATTTAAGTGAAGCACTTTCCTTTTCTCTATGTAAAACATGACACAGATGTGAAAACAAGGAAAAAATTCATTTTACAAGTATTATGACTTAAAATAATTTGTGCAAGCAATTCTAAAACAATCTGCCTTATACTTACAATATAAACATCTAAAAGAGCCCAAAAAACCTCTTCCTCTTCACTTTATATATTCATCAGCACTATACGTAAGTAGCTCACTGTTTCCTGATATTATCAGTTAGCTTCATCTTTTGAGTGGCTCTTCCACATAGCAACAAAAAAGCTCTGTTATTTTCTATTTAAAGAACGCATTAAAAAGCAATACAGTATTTTTAAATGTAACTATCCTTCTGAATAGAATTCACTTCTACTCTCAACCAATTAGAATTACAGGTGTATACAAAGGGAAAATTTATTAAGGGTGTGTGCATCAAAGAACAACATGGGACAAAAGAAAGCTCTGCATTAAGGTACATGGGGAGCTGCAGCAGCAAATTATGGCAAGGGGGGAGCAGAGGATGGTCTGTGTCGTAATGAGGACTAAACTCTTCTCCTCATGTCCACCACACAGCAAATTGAGAGCAAATTGAGCAAATTGAGAAAATAGCAATCCCAAACATTTTGCAGCAAAATTTCTGTATTACTTGTGCAACTGAATTCCACTCAGTATATGAATTGCCAAAAGATGTTTGGAAATCAGTTATTATTTCCATGTATTATAATTCAAAAAGTAATTAACTCTGAATTATAATATAGTAAGTAATTAACGCTATAGCATCCTGAGAGCGTTTCACTCTCTTAAGTGCATACTTTTTACAAATGTAACAAATAGTCCACGTGCACCAAAAAAATCTCTCCAATGCTGCAGGATATTCTTTTCCATTTAGCAGTTGTTACATCTATCTTTCAAGTCTGAGCACTGGATTAGATTTCATGCTGTCTACCAGTAGCGGTTCATTTAAACACTAGTATATTGGTAGGATCGGTACTAATTTTATCAATTTCCTTTTTAACAAAATCTGATGGTTTTATTAAAAATGGATCTTTGGCTAGATGGATGTTATTGCTCTTATTCGTGCTAGCATCCTTGACATGGCCCGTACAAGTGATGTTCATATTGTCTTATGGAATACAAGAGTAGTGGAAGAACACAGCTTCTACGGACACTTCCTAGTACCCTGTGTACAGCTAGACATTTATTGGCAAGGTATTTCCAAGTCACATGGAAGTTCAAGATGGGGAAAGGGAAAAAATTATTTTAACTGAACGAGGACTAGCTTTGCTTTTTATCCAGTCCCAAAGCCACTGGCTACTTACTGTTAAAAGCAACTCTTTAATAGCTTCTGTCGAACAATAACATGCTGCTTTCCTCAAGGCTCAGGGACTGCTTTTACTAAAGGAAGTGAGCACCTTTAAAAGTAATATGGAGGGAAGGGCAGTGCTACTGAAGACCTCTACAGATAAGAAAGGTGCACTCAGTGTAGACAGGACAATTTTCACACATATTTATTCGGTTCCTGTTTGAGGAATTGTACACACTTCTACTGTGCTCTGCAACAAGCTCCAGCTGCCCCAGAGGAGAACTCTGCTGGAACACCTCCATTCCCATCAATACAGACTTTAAAACCACCATCTCTTATCTGGCACCGTAGAGGGGAAAAAGTAAGCAAATAAATTGAACTTTAGCTACCTCCTCTTTGAGAAGTCTTTTGCATGCAAAACAGCCAAGCAGAGGATGCTC